CACACATAACATTGATCACTACCCAGTGATCAATCAACTGTGATTACAATGGTAGATGTGTCGCTCAGTTTCGTGGATTATTTGAACTTAGGCATTAACACCGTTGGATGTCGGCTCAGTGGTCTAGAGGTTAAACGTTCGCATGCAAGAACGATAGATCTTGGGTTCGAATCTCGCGAGGCGGGATCGTGGATGAACACTGCTGAGGAGTCCAACAGTAGGACGAAATGGTTATCCAGTGCTTCCAGATTTTCAATGATGGTCTACTTTTAATTAACTCATGATCTCAACTGTTGAAATTAATCATTAACTGTCAGTAAAACTGATGTGTGTATATATTTTGGTAAGCATGAACATAGTGTCTTATCGAAAGTGTAATAAAATCTATTTCTCTTATCAATAGTGTTTTCTTTCTTGAGTTGTGTCAGTCGAAATTTCCCAGACAAGTACTAGAGTTTTGGTCTCGTGCTCGAACATTTAACATTCAAACCATTGAGTGGATATCCAATGTTGTATAAATCTAATTCTAATCGTTCCACAATAGTGCACAACCATCTTCCATTGACTTTGGTAGATGATTGGCTCACACCTGACACGAATTAACTCCATTTGTCACAGCTTCCCACTAGTACTCCGGAAATTTCCTCCCAAAGCTAATCACTAGTGATCATATAATAATTTTCTAAACGGCCGTCCATTGCTTCTAAGTTTTCAATAGGGATCTAATATTGATCGGTTCATGATTCCAGTGATACTCAACAATCTCTACAACGCTATACTAACAATTTAGAATGTTTGTTTACAATTAGAAGTTGATGGTCATTGTGATATTTTTACGAAAATCAAGAACAAAAATAATATTGTTGCAACAGTTCCAGCAGAGTTATCATCATGTTCAGTGTTTATCTTGAAAATAAACATAAACAAACGTTACCAATGACAACACTTCATTGTGACATATAGTTATGATAATAAGTAAATTATTTTCCTGTTATGCTATTACATACTATAAAATAGGCGTTTCTTTTCCATGTATATTGAATAGGAATTTTCAAATGATAAATTTACGTAAAATATTCGAATCGTAAGATACAGTTGCACCAATCTTAATTTCACGTTATTTTCAAAAGGGGTTTTGTAGAGGTTGTAGTTATTTTAATAGTTGATATCATGAGTCAATTGAAGCTAAGTCACCATAGAAAGCCTGGAAGCATTGGACAGCTGTTTCGTCCTATTGTGGAACTCCTCAGCAATGCGCAGCCACGATCCCGTCTAGCGAGATTCGAACTGAGGACCTGTCAGTCTCGCGCGAGCGCTTGACCAATAGACCACTGAGCCGGCATCAACGGTGTTAATGTCTCACTTCAAATAATCCAGTGCTTCCAGGTTTTCCATGGTGGTCTAGCTTCAATTGACTCATAATCTCAACTATTGAAATTCACATCATTTAAAAAAATATTAATTCAATTAGAAAACGGATTGGCCAATAAAAACCCAAATTTAAAATTATACCATTCATACAGAAGGAGGGTATTCCCAGTTGAAATGAGTAGCCAACTGTTGTAACTTTAAGCCCGGCTAGTTACCACGTGATTTATTCACTAATCGAAATACGACTTATTCAATATTAGTAATGCGCCTAAACCGATCACGTTCTACAGGTATGAACAGACTAACGTCCTTATTGATCCTTTGTTCACCTAACCCTTCCAGTTGAACCCGGAACACCAATAACAACTCCCACTATGTGAATCATTTATTTCAAACAATATTTGGTTTATATACCAGCCAAATTGGTCACACCACACCATGAAATAGGAAATAATATTTAAACAAGATCAAGTCAAAAGTAACTGTGAACGTGGAAGACTCGAGTCAATAAACAAGACATAACTCAAGAACAGTAGATCGTACAATAATAATCTATAGGTCTAACTGAAGCTTATAATAAGAGGAATATGGATATATACAGTCTAGTTACTGAATAGTTATACAATAACTATATATATATATAAACTATCAGTCCATTAATAGTTCTCGGAAGTTACTCGTAATTTAATCTTCACTAAGATATAACCGTTTTAGTAAGTGTTTTTGTTGTTGTTTGAAATCATTGTTAGTTAACAAGTAGTAAGATGATGCTGTTCTCCTAATTATCCGATCATTCAATATTGTTAATTGTTCAATTACTTACAATAGAATAACGTGAATATTTTAAAGAGTTAGCCAATTAGTCATTTTGTTATGACAGATTGTTATCGAAATGTTTACATAAATTATCTTTTCTTTAAATATTTTTCATCATCATCAATGAATATTGGATCAATTTTTGTTTTGCATCGTCCTATTTTATTGTATGATAACAAGTTTTGTTTTCTGATTAAATGAACAAATATCTCTTTGTGTTTGGATATATAAACCAATGAAAAACCAAAAGAATAAATAAATAAACCGCCAATTAGTTGGAAACAAATTCATACACTCTCTAAACAGATTCTTAGCTATCTAAACTCGTTCTCTCGCTCTCTCTTACTAGATAACACGCCCCCAAATGCCCTGGTATAGCCGAGAGTGGGGCGGCCTCGCTCTATCTCTCGAAATGCTCTCGCATGGCCACGCGTATATAGCCTCTACCAGGGAAGTCCTACTCACTGTCCTCTCTTGGCGACGGTGTTGTTTACGGAGTTGAGAGTACGAAAAGCGAATATCCGCTCCTTAGACAGGGTTGGTGGATACGGAGAGTTCACCTAGGGGAAGAAGATGCAGATTTAAAAAATAACAAGAATTAGGAACAATATTTTCCTTATGTTATACCTTTCATCTGGTTACAGTAAGAGACCTTTCAATCTTAAAAGAACAGTATTCTGGATATTAAAAAAAACAAACACTTCTCGGTTTATTTTGAAGGGGCGAACCAAGATGAAATTATGCCGACCATTTTAGATTTTCCTCTTGAATGCCTCAATGTTGATTACAGCTGAAAGTTGTAAGCTTTGCCTAGAAGCATATGTGTACATTATATTGTTTGTGTATTAAACAAATTCATAAGTCTTCTAATTGAACGCTAGATTCAGTTCCAAAGCTCTTCTAGTAACCCCCAGGCTAAATCTAAACAGTGACTTGAACATGGAAGAAAAGGCGCGAAACATAAGAGAAACGCTCTACTTCAAGGTTCTTTTATGTCAAGAAAATCTAGAGTTTTTAGAGTATTTTAGATGACCTTGAGTTTCCGGAAAATTCTGGAACGCTACTAAGCATAGTAGAAGTATAGACAATCATCCAATTAGAAACTAGACATGTGACTTTTTACTTTCTAGATCTTTCTGGAAAAACGTCTGTAGAATGCTGATTGGATAAGATGCTTCCCAGCGTCTTCAGAGCCTTTGTTGTTTTTTTGGAGGAGTTTTCTGGATCTCCCCAACACAATTAATAAATTAAGTCTAATCTGGGTGTTTACTGGGACACAACATTGAAGTTACGTACTTACAAAGCAGATGACTCAAAAATTTGAGTAGACAAGATCAATTTTTATCTAACACCATTGAAAATCATCATTTAATTATGACATCAATAATATCAAATTATTCATGGTATGTGCTATATCCTAGTGAAGATTAAACGACAGGTAACTTGTGAGAACTATTAAGTGATTATTCAGTAATTAGATTGTGTTTATCTATATCCCTACTATTCTTCAGTTATGTTCAATTTATTGATTCGAGTCTTCCACGTTCACAGTTACTTTTGACTTGATCTTGTTTAAATATTATTTCCTATTTCATGGTGTGGTGTGACCAATTTGGCTGGTATATAAACCAAGTATTGTTTGAAATAAATGATTCACATAGTGGGAGTTGTTATTGGTGTTCCGGGTTCAACTGGAAGGGTTAGGTGAACAAAGGATCAATAAGGACGTTAGTCTGTTCATACCTGTAGAACGTGATCGGTTTAGGCGCATTACTAATATTGAATAAGTCATATTCCGATTAGTGAATAAATCACGTGGTAACTAGCCGGACGTAAAGTCACATCAAAAACAGTTATGCCGTAATTCTTACTAGTTGTAATATTAGCGTTAACATTATTTGTAAATGATTTTCATCACAAATCGATAGCTGATATTAGTCAGAACCAACGTATAGCCTGGAATAAATGTGTATTAACTCAGATTGTTGTACCATATTAGCATTACGAGTTGAAATGTAAAGAATGAAAGTAATGTAGTAACTATGATAATAAGAAATAATACTGGAACCCAAGATGAAGACAAAAAGTAAGTGTATTTGGGCCACCATAAATGTTTCTGGGACGTTAACCATTCATTGATCGGCATTATTGCACTGATCCCGATTTGGTTTAATCCAATAGTTAATGACTTCATGGACTGATCCTACAACATGGTTTGGTCACCCGCAGTACGTGCTTTTAACTTGGGTCAATCAATGAAAGAATAGCGCAATTTCCATTCAATATATTTGAATTAATATTTTACACCTTATTAACTAATTCACTTTGCAACTGAAAATTAGAATATCTTAGATACTAGCGAAAACTGATTCAACACCAGGTTACCTAATAGTACGAAAGCACTTGAAACTTCCCATGACTCTGTACAAATCGGGGACTGATTTAATTTGTATATTGTATTCACTATAGAATGATCTCGGTTGAAATACTATTGTAAACCAAGAAACATTGGGCAGCTTGTGAAATCTAAGTTGTGTGCACATACGAACTCAATATGAATCACATCTAGGACTTTAACTTTTGATAATGAACACTTAACTATCGAAACTAATGGATTAGGATCCAATGGTACAATTCCAACTTCTATGATCACTATTTCACTCTACTAATAACAACTTCTGATGAAATCTTCAAGAACATTATGAATTCACTAGTAAACTGACTTTCATACTTTGATGATAGACTATATCGATTATTTAATGAATCCATCATAGTTAAAGGTTATCCATTGTGAATCAATCAAAACAATAGTTAATCATAATGCACTTTCTCTTTTGTGTATACATACACAAATTTACATTTTACATAAGAAAAATAAATTTATTTTGTGATAAATAAAATAAATTTAAAAAAAAAGAAAAGAAAGAAAACAATTCCAAAATACCACCAGTAATTTGAAAAAAGAGAATAAAAGAAAGAAAGAAAAAAAAACAACAACAACAACAGTGGAATCTCAAATAACTACTCACTTCTGGAGCATGGTGTTACGTCATAGGTAAGTTATCAAGTTAAAATAGTAATAAAAGAAGTGAAGAAAAGGCATCAATATATGAAACAATGATGACAATAATAATAATAATAATAATAATAGTGGGTAACAATAACCGGCATTTGTTAAAGAAAATAAAACCAGGATACACAGTGTCGATGACAATCCAAAACATGAGAGAAGGAATAAAACCGGTGAAAATAAAATGTCAGCTTACGTACATACATATATATATAAGAGAATCACATGGCAGTTAATTTTTTTTAAAACAAATATGGATATATATATATATATGCTGAATTGTTTCATCTTGTTTGTGGTAAACCGAAATAGAATGTTAACAAACAAAAGCATAATGCAGTGTAAATACGTAATTAACAATAGTAATAGTAACAACTAGATTTTACTATCATTATCAACATTATCGTATCTAATTCATCAGCATAATTAGCGAATCTATTCTTATTCAACTAATGTACGACTTTTAGAATGTTTCTGATATTTCATTAATGAAACACAAATTTACATAGTACACATAAACTAAGCTAAATGAAGCCAAGGGAAAAGTTTTATATATATATATATATATATGTGCAATTCAAGTTGGTAGGACAGATATAGGATAAAACTAAAATATAAACTAGTGTATTGAGGGTGATTTTAATGAAGAGATAGTGTATGTGTGCAACCCAAAGAAAGACATTCCAAGAGTGCCGAGATAAAGAAAAATACATAAAACAAAGAAACACACCTGATCAACTTAGGAATAGATTATTGATGATAATAATATCAATATATAGATAAAGTGAAAGTTAATACGAGAAGACTGTTGAGTCGTGGTGCGATAAAAGAAAGAAATAAAGATTGCACGTGTGAGTATAAACAATCTGTGGAACTGTACACACAAATTACAATTACACATACATACATACATACTTATTATAACAACAAAATAGCTGATTTTTGTTTCTGAAAGTAAAATCAAAATCGAATGAAAAGATCATATACACATATCTTTAGTAGTAATCTACAAAGTGTTAAATAATAACAAACAGCAACAAATATGAAACAATACACAAGAGCTCAGTAATAATGACAATACACGATATAGTGATAGTAATAATACAAGCATTTACACATTGACAGAAAAAAAAACAACGACAACAACAACAACAACAAAGAATGAGAAAATGCATATTATATATGCATAGGATAGAGTTCAGTATAGTAAAATACAAGCTGAAAAAGTATATAAGACTATTTATAATAATAAGTGTGCAATTATCCTTTATTTTTCCCCCATCTACTCACAATAATCAGGTTTTGTTTTCTTCTTTAATATAATGGAGGAAGATCGATTGATGACTATAAATGCTTTGAATTATTATCATTATTATTATTATTGGATTTTTCATTAGGATGATGATGAGGAGGAGGAGGATTGGTATCATTATTATTATTATTATTATGTGTATTGAATAATAATAATTTATCATATTCACAATTTGACCAATATGAGGAAATATTTCCATTGTTATATAATAATGATGAATATAAAATATTATTATCATCATTACATTGACAATTTCTATGATGAATATTACTATCAAGCATTGTTGGAGGTGTGATAGTGATGGTAGTGGTTAATAAAGGATTATTACTATCATTATAAGTTGTATTGTTATGATTGCCTGAGATGAGTAATTTATTGCCAACTGTAGTACCAATAGAATTGGTACTTGTAAGATTTGGTAATAAATTTATTTGTTTATTATTAGTAGTATTAGTATTAGTATTATTCATAGTATTACGTGGCACAGATGGACAACGAATTATGCCAAAAGGAAGCTTATCAGTAGCTTCTGGAGGTAGATAATTAGTATGTGAAAAATCTGACAATGCTGGATTAGTATCTAATTGTTTACGTACACCAGCTAGTGATTTTTTAACACGCATAGCTGATAGTCTAGCAGATGGACTAGCATACCAACATTCACTCATTATATCTTGTAGTGCTCGGATAATTTCATGTTTCGACCATATAGCTGGTAGACCTGGTCGTAGACCTTGTTCACAAACAACAGACTTCATTTCTTCTACTGAAGGATCTGCAGACACAAGATCCTGTGGGGGAAAAAGAGTAGAAAAAGAACAATTTCAAGGTAAGTACAAATAAACCACGATAAATACAAATAAAAATCGGCATTTAGTTGAAGAGGTTTGATGGAATTCGGTTCCAAACAGTTGGTGGGTTTACATTGATAATAAATTAGTCTTAATTGGGATACAATTAAAAACCAAGGAGGACTGAACAACTGTTTCGTTCAAATAGGAGGCTACCCTCATAACTTCACTAGGGATTGAACCGATGACATTCAGGTGCAAATTACCTTCTTTTTTCTTCAAAAATAATGTAGCAAATTTACGATAACTTTGACAGATAGTATACCAATAATAAATTAAAATGGATTCAATAATGGCTGTAGACAATTATATACTGACATCTGAAATACGTTTTAAAACAGTTTTCTGCATTCTTTGCTTGTACTACTGATAATACTGTGAATAATAGAAGCCTATGTGAAAGTATAGTTTACTGACGATCTTTAGCGACTACTAAAATAACCAAGCTCATTGGGAAGTGAAAACAAAATGTGGGAAAAAGTTAGAGTTGGATAAGTGTAAGCGATTGCTATTGTAGTTATATTGATGAATTGTTATGCAGATAATTCTTTGGTCTTAAATCGTAAAACAAGTTATTTTCAGAAATTCTGAAATCATGTTATATACAAACCATAACAGAGAATAACCAACCTTTTTTTCGATGTTTAATGAAAGCATGATATCTAACATTTTCTGTTCATTTAGCGTGTCAAAGCTGGGGCATCATCAGATTGTAATTTTGACTGCAAACTTCATTTTAATCATCTAAGGTTAAATACATTTACTAAATTTTATCACTACAACGTAACTTCTTAGATTGACTCAACTACTTACAAAATAGGGTTTCTCTCTGTAAGCATTGAAACAAACCTTAAATACTTCCATCATAATTTACAATGAGGAACTTAAATAGAGAAGTTCCCATCCACCTCAGTACATATATGTTAGCTGCACTAAATTGTAAATAATGGTTTAACCCACTGATGCCAGATTTTTTTTAGCACAAAACATTATTCCACGATTTTTCACTTCTACGTCATAATCTAGACATAACGTTTTACTAAAATTAAATATTGATTTAAACAATAATTTACCAAACTGAAGTAAGAGAATGATTGAGTAAATAATTTCATGGAGTTCAACTATGTCAAGTGAGGCCGTTATCTATCTCAGGTAACGGAAGATGGTAGCACAGTTAGTTAGTTAGTTACAACGTAGGATCAGGCAAATATATGCATCGGTCCAAGTTACCACACCTCATTAGCACAACAAGATGAACACCAAATTCACAGAAGTCATATATAAAAGAAAGATTGAATATAAGTATGTAATACAGGAAGAAAGGATTAGTTCGCAGAAAGAACGGTATAAAGTAATTATAATCTCAGTGTTTAGGGGAAAACAACGTCGTAAATTGATTGAAGTTGGACATTGATACTATTGGGTCCCGTTCGCAGTGATTTAGATATTAAACATTTGCACACGAGACCGAGTCCTGTGTTCGATACCCGATGGAGGGGTTGTGGATATGTATGAGTCCCACATTCGGACAAAACGGTTGTCCAGTACTTCTTGGTTCTCAATGATATTGTCTAACTAAGATTAGTTTATGACTTAGACTGTGAAAATTCTACAATCTCCACAAACACCTTAATTATTAAATTCATAACAGAATATGGAGATCACATTTTAAAAGAATAAAATATAACAACATATACTGAATGAATGAACGAGGAAAATACTAAATATGTCACCATGATAATTAGTGCTGAGCTACATACACCTTAATACGTATACATACCTAGAAATGAACTACTCAACTACTGTTATTTTTACTTGGGGGAATAATATCCAAGTAGATGAGATCAATTAAAAATTATCCGAACAAATTTTATCCAAGTAATAAAAAGTAGAACAACAATAGAATACAACTTTTCAAATAGTAACAATAAAAACAGGATAAACACACAGAGAGGACAGAATACACGAGATGTTGTACATTATAAACCACTACCACCACCACCACCACCACCACAATCACATCACAAATTCTTGCGCCTACTAGTTATTTTGACAGACGCACGAGTGTGCATGTGTATCAATGTACCGAAGATGTACATATATGTACAGCACACACTATACTAGTACACCATGGCAATAAAGAAAATGGAGAAGTGAGATTCTTCTCTTTGCAAACCAGACAATAGGCATACACACACATAATATATACATACAAGCCAATGATCTATGACATTAATAATAACACATGAAATATAAACACAGCTAATTATATATATAATACATAATGACAACGGTAGAACAAACATAATCACATGTATACGTGACCGATACAACGGTCCCTCAACCAACATATACATATGTAAACTAGATTTTTCCTTATCAAGTAATTAACCAATCGAATTATATGAAAACAGAAAAGTCATATTGAAGGTAGACAACAGTATTCCATCCACGCTGTTTATTTATCAACGTAAATTTAAATATATACATATATGTCTCAAAGGCGGAGTGAACAAGTGATGGATGACAGCGTTACATAATATTGCCCTACAATTTTGAATCGTTCAAGAATTGTAATATTTTACGCAACTGACATGGAAAAACAGAGAGAAGTCGACTAGATAAAAATAAGTAAACAAGCAAATAAATAAAATTACGAACAACATTGTAATCTTAGTATATAAGTTCAACATGATATATGGTTGGACATGGAACACAACTATAGAACTAAAACCCATGGGAATAATAAATAGACAGCTAGATGCGCACTGCTGAGGAGTCCCATACTAGGACGAAACGGCCGTCCAGTGCTTCCAGGTTTTCAATGGTGGTCTCTAGCTTCAACTGACTCATGATTTCAACCTGTGAAATTTACTAAAATCTCCACAAAACTCATTCTGATAATTGATCATTGATTGGCGACCAATGTTATGTTTGTCTAGTGCTTTGGTGCCGATTGAATTCTATCGATCAAGTTGCAAAGTGATCACTAAAATCTAACTGACCTGATATCCCGTGCATTATTACTATATAGAGATGTTAAATACTTGGATGTAGTTAGAAAACTCCGCTTGATCTAAGTTTCCTGATACCTGGTCCTCATCCGTAAACTGTAACTGTAACCTTGAAGGAACTGATACTATCGAATATAGGCTCAGCGGTAACGTTTCAAGCTGTGAAGCTGAATGACGTAGGACTACAATCCATTAGGGAGAATTGAACTAATCAATGGATATAGAGCAAATATTGCTTACTGCTGCTCACTTTAAAGTGAGATGTTATGGTTACAATGGCGACAGGGTCAATAAAATCGTACGATATTTAATCCGAACATTGGTCGCTAAAATGATGTAAAAACTTGTGTCAGTAGGTTTGAATTACCTTTCATCACTTACATCGGACTGGACAACCAGTTATTATTATTAACTGTAACTTAAAGCCATATCTATGAACTTGTACTGAATCATTCAGTTATATTACATGACTAATATTTTTAAAGAAATACACCTAGGATTACCAACTGATGGTCGGAGGGTGAAGTTCAGATGCTGGCTGTATAGGAGGCTTGATGATAGTGAGGTGCCTCATTTAGACAACTAGCATCTGCAGTAACGCTGCAGATGTGGGAGGCCCGGATGTGACACCCCCCTTCATATTTCGTAAAACCATTCTCAACGAAACATACTCAAGACCTGTTTTATTGTTAACACAAACATTATACGCAGAGATGGATGGTGGTCAGCAGCATAATCCAGGACATGCATTTCGCCCCATTTTGGACTTGTCAGCTGGGTATACCTGAGCCCCAGAGTTCACATTCATTCCGGGACTCGAACTCAGTACCGTTTACTTCAAACACAATGCGTTATCCACATAGCTTCTGAGACTAGATAGACATTGGCTTGTATAAAAGGACAAAGAGATTGTTTAATCGCAGTGCTAAACGTCGATGGGTAGGTTCAAAGAACTAATACAAATACGTTAACATAAACTTTACTCGACTGACTGATTATCCCCTCGTTAACTATTAGCATGATAGAGCTCTATTGTTGCATGCTCTAACCAGGATCAAATCGGAATAAGTTGATTGGCTCACTTTTAATTACTAATCAGAGCTAGCGAATATGTTGAGATGTTAGATGACTCCTATGTGAAATCGACATGAACCCGGTTTTTATCATATATAAGGTGTCTTCGAACGATTGTTCATGTATTTTGAGACCATCAAGTTAGTAATTTTGAAGTGAGATACAAAATATTAAGTAAGTATGGCCAATCGACTGATGAGATAGTGGGTTAGGACACATATTGTATTGTATTGTATATCCCCAACAATGAACTATATCGACATGCGATGATGTCTGATGTAGAAGTAGGTTAGAAGAAATGACATCATTTCATAAAGACATTGTCTGATGGACTGAGCCATGTAGGTAGGTACAGAATGATTAGTTTAAGGTTCGCATGATTATCGTAATTAATGATTAGAGACTTTGTATGATACGGCTCAAGGTCATTTGCAATGGCACTTTTTGTCTTCCTTCAGACCTCAATTTTCTCGAAGTTTATTCGATGCCTAATCCTTTCCATTTTTTTTCATCAATACTGTCACTAAATCTATTACCCTGGGATTCCCCATGACAATTTTACCTCACTATACTAATGAAATATGACAAATTGAAGCGATGTTCATATGTGCTAGGTTCTACGTTTGTGGGTTTGACTGACTGATATGTATAATGTTCTCTTAAAACTTTTATTCTAATTATGAAGAAGAATCGAGTAAACTAACATAGTCAGAGGATACAACATTCATTTATTTGATTTATTATCCGCTAATATCTCATTACCATTTTATAATTTATCTTATCACATAGTTATATAACCTTCATTTTTTGTAATTATTAATCTTGATCTAACTTTAATGATATTCTCAACGAGTGACTGATCTTTATTAAGAAATACATTTTTTTATTTTCTTAATGAGAATTGTTTAGTTCACTCTTCTATTACATAAGTTTGGTAACTTTATTATTTTTATTATTATTATCAACAACGATAACAGGTCATCAGTTTTCATGATGAAAAAAAAAGTTTTTCTTCTTCAAGTTATACTGCGCTTTAAGAGTGAATTTGCTGAAAACAGATCATTTTCATATCAGAAGAGGTTCTTGTGGATATTATAGTAATTTCAATGGTTGAAATCATGAATCAATTGAAGTTAGATCACCATGGAATACCTGGAAGCACTGAAGGACGTGGATGCGCACTGATGAGGAGTCCAGTAATAGGACGAAACGGCCGCCAAGTGCTGCCAGGTTTTCCATGGTGGTCTAGCTTCAATTGACCCATGATCTCAACTACTGAAATTACTACAATCTCCACAAAACCCCTTCTGATATGATAAATTGTTAAAATTTATGTAAAATTATAAAACTATAGACCAAATATACTGTCAGTAAAAAAGGTGCAAGGAATATATTTAGTGGTCATTAATCTGCATTAACAATAATCATCACATGGTTGAAATCATGAATTAATTGAAGTTAGATCACCATGGAATACCTAGAAGCAGATCATTTTGTTGAACTAATCTTATATTACATAACAACTACTGGAGTAGAATTTTTGCAATTTCACAATGAACTATGATAAAAAAAGATGAACAAATGTGTAAATATATCAGAATACATCATCACATATGATTAACTCTAGTCTCCTATAATGATTCATGAAAATAGAATGGAAGTAAAATCCAGTTTTGTGTAGGAATTAGCTATTGACTACGATGAAAACAGGTAACAATCTAACATGATATATCATTTTAGTAAGAAAATGTTTTCATGAGAACGTTACTTGAATTAAGGATGAACAAAATATTAAGTATACTTACTTGATAAGGTAGTTGATATTCATCTGGTCCGAATAAATTACGAACATAGCATCGTCTTGTAACCTCCCAAAATACCAAACCTAAACTGTACATATCAGCTTGTTTAAATGCTTCTGGACTTGTTAAACGTATTGTATTATCTAACACTTCAGGAGCCATATAACGTTTGGTTCCAACACGATCTGAGTTTGAATTAATTTCTAATGCAGTATTCATAGATGAGTCCAATTTAAGAGCAAAACCCAAATCTCCAATACAACATTCACCATCCATTTTAACTAAGATATTTCTAGACTTCAGATCACGATGAGCTATAGCAGGTTTACCCTAAATTTACAAAATATTACAATTAAATAGTTATTTGTAGATAACAGATGATAAATTTCAATAGTTGAGATCATGAGTCAATTGAAGCTAAACCACCATGGAAAACCTGGAAGCACTGAAGGACGTGGATGCGCACTGATGAGGAGTCCAGTAATAGGACGAAACGGCCGCCAAGTGCTGCCAGGTTTTCCATGGTGGTCTAGCTTCAATTGACCCATGATCTCAACTACTGAAATTACTACAATCTCCACAAAACCCCTTCTGATATGATAAATTGTTAAAATTTATATAAAATTATAAAACTATAGACCAAATATACTTTCAGTAAAAAAGGTGCAAGGAATATATTTAGTGGTCATTAATCTGCATTATTTCGAGAGGGAGAGCTGACTGTCCCCATCATCGGTAGTACCAGGCGTTTGGGGACTGACGGTGAAACATGACCAGTAGAACTAGGCTGTGGCACATTCACGATATCAATCCTACCTGATACAAGTACTGAGTGAACGGCACTGAAATCAAATGGGTAGTTTCAATTAAAAGCTGAAAGTGAACTATTGTCAAGAAACTGAACGGAATGGTACAATTGTGCAGAATTGAAAATTTTCCAGCCTGGTAAGCGCTATTAGCTGAAGATACTGATTTCTAAGAAGCTTAGCCTGAAGTCAAGAATATATATATATATATATATATATATATATATATATCAAGAGTCATGATAACTAAAATCTATGGGCTTCTTAGTATGATATAAATCAACAACTGGAGAATTTAGACAATAAAGCAAAAAACTGATCCCACCGGTGGTTATATTTTATAGATATTTTGTCCAGAACAAACAATTCTCTATCACTACAGCACCATGACACCAGAGGAATTTTATTGAAACTAACAGAATAAACTTCTAGTAGCTGTTAGTTTTGTTTCCATGTAATCACATTCAGTGAAACACGGTTAATGCATCACCTGAGTAAAATAACATCTCCGTAAAGAACATGCCCCTATTACACAAAAACAAACTTAATGAGTTTAGGCAGATAATAGTATTAAAGTATAGTTGCTGTTTAAAAAATATCATTTTTACTACAGAGTCAAGTGCATACAACAAAAAATCATTACCTGTGTCCCAGTAATTTCCATGTGTAAATGTGCCAAACCATTAGTAATTGATGCAACGGCCCGTAAAAGAGCAAACGGTGTCAGACAATGTTGTTGTAGAAATTCATATAATGATCCTAATGGATGATAGTCAGTTATAAGCCATAATTGGGTAGACAGTCCTGTATCCTTATTATCAGCTGCAATAAAACCTAGAATATTTGCATGACGTAACATCACCGTCTGATAAATGTCTGTCTCTCTGAAAAGTATTAAATAAGTCAAAATTTGAAGGTAATTTAATAAAATAACTACTGAATAATACATACGCAAATGATTCTATGGAAGATTTCCTATACACAATGAGCGGATTTCCAAAGCTATAAAATGAATAATTTACCTTCTAAGTGGTTTAATGAATGAGTTTTACGATAATATGGAGATAGAGAAAGAATGAAATTGTTTTTTTGTTACTGGAGCTCAATTGTGAAAGTTTGTCGATTATCTGTTCTACGTAGGTTTTCTATACATAGACCTATGTATTGATTGATTTTTTTATTAAGTATACGAGGTTCCTGCTTTATTGTAAACGTCGGGTGGAAAGTACTACAAAGACTTGAGAATATCTAATATAAAAACTTGTCATTACATGCTTGCTCCGACTTCTACCATTTATGGTATGATTGTGTGATTTCTTATTTGGTGTGCTGTGTGGTCAGGCACCTTAAATATATTATTGCATGGATTTTGAGTGATAACAGAATTGGGTACGTCTTCTGATTGGATACTGGGCTAGAAGAGATATGTATACGAGCTTGATTAGCAACGGAGTAAATTGTATAAGTTTTCAAAAAAGCCATACAGATGTGACCGTATGGTGGCGGGATTCTGGATTTCCTACCGAGACTCCGTCAGATACTAAGGTTGGCGAAACTTGCAAGATAAATCAACTACATCACTCGTTATGACTAAGCCTACATGTTGGCTGGGTTTCAGAAAATCCTTTTGCATATAGTTTACTTTTAACATTTCATTTAGTCCCTTTTTAACCTTACTTGGTCATTCGCTATATCATGTTGATACGTGTTTACAATAACTTCTTTTCGATAAATATGTTAAGCACCAATTGTCATTATTACACGTTTTAAAAACTATTGATAACCTGACGAAATAAAATGAATCTATTTGAGTTATTTAAATTTCTTTTATTTCCAATAATTGAGATCATGAGTCAATTGAAGCTAGACCACCATTGAAAGCCTGGGAGCACTGGGCGGCCGTTTCGTCCTATTGTGGGACTCCTCAGCACTGTTCATCCACGACCCCGCCCCATGAGATTCGAACCCACGACCTATCGGTCTCGCGCGCGAACGCTTAACCTTAAATCTTGCATTGTTTCAGATAGTAGGGTAAAGTTTAAAATAAAATCCTAAGTATTCGTAGATGAGGTAATTTTAAACTGATTTATCTTGATTTTTAAGAAAAAAAACGTTACTATTGTTATCAACCTATCAACCATGTTCTTGGCTTCAGTAGCCAGTAATATTACTTCATGGGGTTAACCAAAGTGGATGAAGCGGAGTTTCAACCTTCAACTAAGAAGTTGAGAATCGAATGCCTTAACTACTGGGGTCACAGTTCTTAAGGAGTAAACAAAGCTATGCAGCTGAGCAACTCGATGTAAAAACATGTACCGGCGTGAAACTTAAGGTCGAACATGTATGCGGTATAAATATCGAGGAAACCATAACAAATACAACTATTACTAGACGATTAATCCACTATTGTCATCAGAGATTCCGGCAATGCCTTTGTGTTTACTGAGGTTTTAAAGATAGAAGAAAGTGCTGTTGATGGGATATGTGAGTGATAGTGTGAAATCAATCACAACATTACAACACTCAACTTTACCCTTCAGCTTCTTTAAAAGAATTAAACAATGCAATTTGCCAACTGTCTATTTGTATTGTTTTAGAGAAAAAAATTGTTAAAATGTTTTCATATTTCAAGTCAAAGTACTGTGTTTTCAAACGTCATATTAACTAGTTATTCTCCATATACTGAACGGTGAATTAATTTTATTAGCTCATATACACTGACTAACTGGCGATTTAATATACAAACTTGAATGTATTTGGAAAAGTAGGATTAGTCCACTGTACTAGCGACAAGTCATCATAAAGAATAATATAAAAGGATGAAGCTGGTTTTGAAGTCACTGTTGACCTTAAGAGTAACAACGGAAAGCTGACATTGGGTCATTATTTCATAATCATATTCACGAAAGATTACTTCGGAATGAAAGGAGTCTAACTTTAAAGTATGAGAATTGCTTGTTATTTTATCAGTCAGTCAGCTACAACGTAGGAACAGGCACATATGTGCATCGGTCCAAGTTGCCATACCTCAGTAGCACAACAAGATGAGCACCAAATTCATAGAAGTAGTCACTTCAATGGTGGTAATATATAAAAGAAAGATTGTATATAAGGACATAGTACGGGAAGAAAGAATTAGTTCGTAGAAAGAAAGATATGAAGCGATTTTAATCTCATAGTTCCCGACCGTGGCTGCTACCTTGACGCGGTGGTCGGGCTTGCCTATCGTGATGACCCAACCGAGCTATATTGACTGGAACATATGTTCCTGTAGGTTCTACCATGCCAGGCAGGTCGATTGGAGAACAGTAAGACTAAAAGCAGCAACTCAAGGTCTGAGGGCGAAGTCGTACTGCTGACTGTAGAGAGGTGTGACAGCAGTGTGTTTCCCTCGGACAACCAGCATCTACAGCGATGCTGCCTTCTCACAAGGAAGGAAGGGGTTAGAAAAGGTCAACCCTAAAAATGTCACACCTCAACTTACCTCACGGATTTCCGTCTCCGGCGGTAAGGCCCTTTAAAGAACGGAGCTAACACGTCAAAAACCTCCCACAAAAAGGCCGTGCGCGACCGGCCTCAGGCAGTTGTCCCCTGGGCTCTGTGGTCACGCTCCCAGGTCTTTAAGACCAACACTAATTCAATATCCTTTTCAGGTTCCTCAAAAAATACCCTTCCACGGTGTGGGCAGCCGGGAAGTGATATCAGCCCTCATACCCGTAACAGCACACGAGACCAAGTTGGTCACATTCAAATCCTCCCTACACCTCCTAATACCTCTCTTATCTCCATGACTAACCCTCCTCACGTCTCCTTATCATCTCGCACCGCTAGGGCAAACGATTCGAGTACGTGGAACGCTATTCCTGGTCTCCTGAAACCACGCTCTAAACTACATGTAGGAGCTCTTAACGTACGAACACTTTGCCAAATAGGACAGCAGGCTTCCTTAGCTAGGACCTTAGAATCTCGCGCCATCGATGTGTGCTGCGTCTCCGAAACGCGCATACAGGATCCGAGCAGCGTCATTCATTTGACCTCACCATGCCAAAATAAAGAACCGACTCGATTTACGCTTCGTGTATCTGGAAGCCCTGATTCTGCTTCCCGTGGCCTCGCCGGCGTAGGCATAGCATTGAGTCCTAGGGCAGAACTAGCTCTCTTAGAGTGGATCCCAGTAGACAGTCGTTTGGGCGCTGTCCGACTAAACGGAACAGTAAGGATCCGAAAAGATAGGGACACTCGACGTCTCTACCTATTCTCCCACTGACTGCAGCTCAGATGATGTAAAAGATGAGTTTTACAGAAAGGTCTCCGACCTCCGAAAAGCTAGGTGCTCGGATGTAGTAATGGTGGCCGGTGACTTTAATGCTCAAGTAGGTAAACTAAGCGATGGGGAAAGACACCTAGGTGGATCTTATAGCATCGTGGCTCAAAGAACAGATAATGGCGACCGTCTGTTGCAGCTATGCTCAGATAACCGCCTCTTCCTTGCAAATACTAACTTTAAACATCTTTTAACATGGAGACCCCCTAATTCGTCCCAACGTTGGACCCAAATAGATCACATCGCTATCAGCCACCGATGGAGTGGCTCGATAGAAGACTGTCGCTCATTCTGGAGCACATGCTTGGATTCAGATCATGCTCTAGTACGAGCGCGTATCTGTCTGCGTCTTACTGGACGTAGGAAAGACGCTGTAAGTAAACCTCTTAGGGCCCTACTTAATGATAGTCAAGCTAAGAGTATATTTCAGGAACAACTAGAAAAACAGTTAGGCAGCCATGTATGTGATGCCCACCCCGAGGCAGCATGGAATGATATCCGAAAAGCTGTGAAAACAGCAGTGATATCTGCTAGTACGGTAACCCGTAAGGTTAGGGAGCAACACTGGATCTCAGCAGCATCTATCGCACTGATAGACGCTCGGAAACTCATTCCACCTGGCTCTGAACATAATGAGGAGCGGAGTCAGCTTAAGATTGGATCGATGGGAAGAACACTTTAGGGATCAGTTCAACTGGCCTTCAGCCAAGCCTCGGTTTCCCACGATCTCTGGTCAACCTGAATAGCAAGTTAATGCAGGTCCTCCGACTTTTTACGAAGTTGAAAAAGCCATAGGAAATCTGAAGCGAGGGAGAGCAGCAGGTCCTGACAGGTTTACTCCTGAGATTTTTAAGGATGGTGGTTCAGTATTAGCAATGAGATTAACTGAGGTCTTAGGTAGAATTTGGGAACTGGATGTAATCCCATCTGACTGGTCTCAATCACTGATTGTGCCAGTCTATAAGAAAGGACAAAAGTCCTCTTGTGACAATCACAGAGGAATCAGTTTGACTAATATAGTGTCTAAAATATTAGCCTCAATAATACTTCGACGCCTAACCAAAGCTCGTGAAGAGCAGACTAGAGAAAATCAGGCTGGTTTTCGACCTGGATGTGGATGTATAGACCAGATATTCACACTACGTCAGGTTCTAGAACACAGACACACGTTCAGACGCCCCACAATGGTAGTATTTCTCGACCTTAAGACGGCATTCGACTCTGTTGATCGTAAGGTTTTATGGCAGTGTTTGTCACTGAAAGGAGTACCAAAGAAGTACATTAACCTTATACAGGCTCTCTACTCGAACACAACTGGTCGAGTGAGAGCTTATGGCGAACTGTCATCAGAATTGATTACCTCAAGTGGTGTTCGTCAGGGCTGCCCACTCTCTCCATTCTTGTTCAACTTTGTCGTCGACGTACTTTTAGAGATAACACTTTCCTCGTCTACATTTCCAGGGGTTGAACTTCTACCGGGAGGTTTACTTGTTGACCTAGAATATGCTGATGACATAGTTTTATTTGGTGAAGACGCTGACAAAATGCAGAGTCTTTTGACCACTCTAAGCAACAATGCAAGCATGTTCGTGATGCGATTCTCCCCCTCGAAATGTAAAATGTTGCTCCAGGATTGGGTTACATCGACACCCGAACCAGTGATAGGGAGTGAAGTAGTTGAGCTTCACTTATCTTGGAAGTCTCATCAGCCCATGTGGTCTGGTGTGTGACGAAATCTCAGCACGGATACAGAAGGCTCGACTAGCTTTTGCCAACTTGCGTCATTTATAGCGTAGGCGAGATATCCGTCTATCAACCAAAGGACGTGTTTACTGCGCAGCAGTTCGTCTCGTCCTACTTTATGGCAGTGAAACATGGCCGGTAAGAGTAGAGGATATTCGTATGTTACTAGTATTTGATCATAGGTGTTTTCGAAACATTGCTCGTATATCATGGGACCATCGAGTAAGTAACACAATTGTTAGGAAACGGGTACTAGGTAAGGATGGCAAATCAATTGATGAAGTGGTGAAACTTCATCAGTTGAGATGGCTGGGACACGTGTTACGTATGCCCAACCACCGACTGCCTCGATGTGCGATTTTTTGTTGTATAGGAGTAGGTTGGAAGAAAGCTAGGGGCGGCCAGACCAAAACATGGCACAAGTCCATGAAGTCACTGACAAGTGGACTGAGTCATGTTGGTAGGTGTAGACTACCTGGTTGGGGACCACGAGATGATAGCAACCGATGGTTAAAGGCCCTGAATGGCATGGCTCAAAATCGTTTGCAATGGCGCAGGTGCATACACTTTTTGTGTTCTCCCAAATTTTGATCTCCTTATTCCTCCTTGTCTCTTTTTTTCTCTTCCCAAATTTATTTCACTATATTATACTCTTGAAATAACATCTCCAAACACTAATTTTCCTGATTACTGCTTATACTCTTATTACCTCTACCACTACGGGATTTGAATCGACCACTGCATCTCTGTGCCAATGTGGTGTGGCAACTCGAACTGATGTACGTACGTACGAAGTTCTACGTTGTTACTGAATGACTGACTGAATCTCATAGTTTAAAGGAAGACAGAGTGTATACACCGACGCCATTGTGATCGATTCCAAGCCATGTCAATCAGAGTCTTCAACCATTGGTTACGATAGTCACGCGGACCCCAACCAAGTAGTCTGCATCTACCAACATGGCTAAGACTGAAAGTTAGCGACTTCAAGCACTGATGCCACGTTTTTGGTTTGACCGCCCCTAACTTCCTTCCAATCGTCTCCAACACTAGTCAGCATTGAGCGTCATGGTGATCGGTGATTGGGCATGCGTGGTACGTGACCCAAACATCTCAGCCGGTGTAGATTTACAACCTCACCAACTAATTTACCACCATTCCTTAAAACCCTTCGTCTAACCCCATCATTATTTACCCGGTAACCCCAGCAGATACTGGTAATATTTCTAAGATATCTGTGATTAAATACTAGTAGCTTACGAGTATCCTCTACCCTTAATGGCCACGTTTCGCAGCCGTAAAGTAAACCAAAACGAACTGCTACGCAGTATACTCGTCCCTTAATTGATAGACGGATATCACGCCGTTAGCAAAAGCCAAACGAGCTTTCTAAATCCGTGCTGAGATTTCCTCAGACACCAACCCATTAGGGCTGATAAGTGAAGTTATCGACGCGTTCGACTACTTCACTCCCTATCCTTAGTTCAGGCATGACGCAGTCCACTCCGGAAGCAACAATTTACATTTAGAGTGGGAAAAACGGATCTCAAACATCCTTGCATTGTTGCTCAGTGCCACCAAAAGGCTCTGCATTTTATCAGCGTTTTCACTAAACAGGAGTATATTATCTGCGTATTCTAAGTCGATAGGTGGACCTCCTGGCAGATCAATTCCTGAAAATTCAGTCGACGAGAACGTTAGTTCCAGCAGTCGGTCTATGATGAAGTCATATAGATATAATCAATATTGCAATCAAATGAAATACAAACTTACCGGAACCAGGAGCGTTCATCCCGACTAGAAAAGATTTTAGCTGCTACTAGATCACCTTGCCAAACACCTCGCCATACAACACCATAACGACCTTCACCGATACGTTCTTCCAACTGAACTTGCCTAGCGACAGTTCGCTGAACCAGTAAAGGTTTTCCGGAACCTGATCCACTGCAGGTGTGGTCCATCAAATCTGCAGGAATAGTACCTGTTGTAGGCATGGCAGAATTTGATCCCGAACTAGTGATGGTCATAGCCCCAGTAGGGGAATTCGAACATGAATTAATATTTCCAGGAGTGGCTCCCAAAGCGCTACTTCCAAAATGGCTCAAACTACTAGCGCCACGACTAGTTATTCCGGCAGAAACAGCAGAAGGATCATTGGAAAATACTCTTGCATTTTCAGGACAAGTATTATTTACAGTTAAAGCGTCTGGTACTTGCAAAGGTCCCTTTAAGTATTGGTTATCAATATTATCTGATGTCCATAGATGATCAGATGTAATACCATTCTGAGAAGTGATCTGTTTTTGCCGGGCTACTTAGTTTGCACAATCATAGAAGAGAACAACGATTTTGATGAGTTGGTTATAATTACTGACACGAAAAAAATAGGTATTTACAAAGATAAATGTCATATGAGAAAACATTTGCCTAAAAAATGGAATCAGCCTCTGAAAAAGAAGTTTAGTGTAGCAGATTCGTGACTATGTTTCCAGCAAATATACCCTTTAACGCTATGAATTTTGTGCAAGCAAACAGTTTATATGGGAAGCTGACAAATTATATTTTAAAATAGTGAAAAAACGACTAGAAAGTTAATACTGAGAAAAATTGTGCAAACTACATTAAATACAAACTGTATTGATAATGAAGTGGCAATTTTTCATCAGAAAAGTGAGAATCGCTTTGTGAACACTGGAATAAGATAATTTACAAAGAGACTTTATTTTTGATTATAGATAATAATTTGTAATTTCTATTTTAGTGATGATTTTAGGACAACTGAGTAATTTACTTAGTCAGATATTATTTGCTCACATTAAAGTCGGGTAGCTACTACAATATACATTCAATTTAAACCTTGAATGGGTCATATGCATACTCTTGGCCGGCTCAGTGGTCTAGCGGTTAAGCTTTCGCGCGCGAGACTGATAGGTCCCTGGTTAGAATCTCGCGAGGCGAGATCGTGGATAAGCACTGCTGAGGAACCCTACAATATTACGAAACGGCCGCCCAGTGTTTCCAGGCTTTGCTCCCAAATGCCCTGGTACATCGAGAGTGGGGATAGTTCGCTTTTCCTCTTGAAATGCTCTCACATGGTCACGCGTATATAGTCTCTACCAGGGAAGTCTTACTCACTGTCTTCTCTTGGCGACGGTGTTGTTTACGGAGTTGAGAGAACGAAAAGCGAATATCCGCTCCTTAGACAGGGTTGGTGGATACGGAGAGTTCACCTAGGGGAATCGGAAGACTCTGATTCCAAATCAATGGTGCACATGGGATCCAGTATCCTGAGGGAACAAATGGCGTATCAACCAATTGTTGGTCACCTTGTTTTAATTCTGATCAGTAATTTTTTGTCGTAACGAGCTATTGTACCAGCAGTTTGTTTCGTAAACAATACATAACAAGTGAACTTTTTAAAACCCTTTAGGGAACAGGAAAACTATTGATGCAGTATCAATATTATTACCGTATAGACATTTCCAAATTAATTACTCTTAAGAAAGCCAAATCAGCTTAATAAAACGGGAAAATGTCAGTAATGAGGAATGCAAGTTAGGATACTGAACATCAACTATATCTATGTTAGGAAAAAGTAACTCACCTGATTTTCTTCTCAAGAGGAAGTAGAAAGTCCCTGATACAATACAAAGGATGATGCATAGTATGGTTAACAAAGATATAGCGACAAGATATAAGTTCGAAGGATTGTCCTTGACAAGCAGCATGAGTTCCTCCGAAGAAGGAACATTACAATGCTTTTCAGAACAACATCTAATGTCATTGTCTTGCTGACACTTAATGGGAGTAAAGAAGTCATCTTTCGCACACCTGTGGAATAATCAACATTTAGCGAACTTACGTGAGATCATAGAACTGCCGAGGTTCTTTGCGAGGTTCGTGAATAAGATTTAGACGACATGAATAGCCTGGACCTGGGGTACAACAAAATGGGTGTGTTTTCAATTCGCGATAATAGGTAGGAAGGTGAAGCTTGTCTTCCCAATTCGACAGCAATAAGTCAATATATTTGTTCCAGTTTTTCTGGTGTTCCTTGGAGAGTGGGCTACAGGGCCGACAATCTGACTGATTAGCTGCAGGACACAGCAAAAGCATACACTCCATTAACAAGACAAAAGAACAAGCATCACTTAGCGGCACACTGATGACCCTGAATATTGAGACATTCAAACTTTCAAACTACAAACATCAAAAATTACTGGACTCGTATTATGAACAGTTAGTTCCTCGATAGACTCGTCTGAGCGATGAAACGGCGCTCTAATTGCCACCGAAACTAGGACACATGCATTGCCTTCTTTTGGAGGGATATAATGTCCATTATAGTTGTAGCGAGCTTGTTTAAACAGACTGATTTCCATGCTCTAGCGTCTTGTTATTTCATTACGGTCCCAGGTATTCGGTAACATCCAACGGGATATAGATTAAACGCTTGATCGAACTGGTTTTAGTCATTTTGGCATTAGTTACTTGTGAGTTTGTATATCATGTGATTTGAGTTCGTGTTTTTTCATGACAGTTGGAATTCTACATACTAGCAGCTATTATATTTTCAGGGAGAAGGTTGATCGGTTGGGGTGTGAGAAATAATGAAGAGAAAATTTGCAAACTAGGAGAAAACGGCCATCTGAAGAGTGAAAAAACAAGTCAATTAATTGGTAATGCAAACGATGGGCTTGAACCAAAATGTCAAGTTAAAATGGAAAATGGACATGATAAGAAACAAGGTAGTGGGGAGTTAACCATATGTGATAACGATAACAGGTATCAAGCATTGCTATTCCAAGCGGAAAATATCAATCCCTGGTGAGTGTGTGTTTATCAAGTCTCTTCTTGAAGCTATCCACTAGGGGGCTGTAGCCACTTTGTCTTGGAAAACATTCGGAGTTCAGACAACTCGTAATGGTGAAAGTGGGAGGCTTTTAGGATAGTGACACTTTGATTTGCATTTCTTCGGGAGCTGCCTGGAGTAGTGTAGCGCTAGTATTCTAGTAGAATGTTTGTATTGAGATGACTTGGAAACTTAGTATACTATGTGCCACCATCGGACCCCATCTTATTTTTCTACAGCACAGCAAGAATAATCTCACGTACCGAAGTCTGTCTTCGTAATATTTTTTAAACCCCATCATCTACTTAGCTACTCGTCTCTACACTTGGTCTGAGATTTATGCCTCTTTTAAAGACAGGGGGCCCAGAAACGTTTTGGACTTTGATTTGTGGCCACGATCACTTTTTAAACAGTGCCAAAAACAATTCAAAGGCGATTACCTGTCGATACGGAGCGAAGAATTGCATTTGCGTTGAATGCATCTTTGACGTCGTTTGAGCTGATACTCAAGCTCTTGGGGATTAGTGATCCTAGATTACGCTCTTAAGAGACAACCAAGAGTGGATCTGTCGTGGGATTGGACCATAACTACACAATCCTCAAAGCTGAATACGAAATTACTCGGAAAACAGATATTCAATATTTAACGCAGAGAAATACCTAACGATGGAGAAGGCGCGAATAAGGAATGGAATGAGTTGGAGTTGATCGAATAGCATGGCTTGGCAATGCAGGCGTGGTCCCTGTTATCTTATATCTTTTGACCATATTAAATATGTTGTCCTATCTCTAGCCTAAGCTTGTTCTCCATCATGTATTGGTAATTGTTGTGATCCAATGAGTTGGTGTAGACGATGATGTGACTTCCACGTAAGATCTTAGAGATCAGGCAGTTATATCATGACAAGTCTATAATTTTAGGATTAGGTCTATTATTGGAGCAGTACTAATATCATAGCAGACCATAATTCTACAGATCTTCATAAAGAGTGTAAGTTGATTGTGTCAAACGGAGCAGAATATCCATGAGATGAAAATTTGACAGGTTAAGTTTTAACCCATTGTTCATCGAAGATCCCTTTTGTAGCGGCGAATAAATCCTCAGAGTAAATATTTCTGTCAGTTTTCGACACTGATGCTGACTCCTTGAATATGTCTCCAGACCACGAGAGATAGATAGTCCTGATATTGTAAATCCTCTATAAATTGCAGGGAACCCTTTAGTCTCTCAAACCTACGTTTGTAAAGTTATTTTTTTGGTATATAATTGGTAACCTTGCGTATTGTTTTATCTTTAATAAGCTCTTTTGCTGGGACCCACCACAAATCTGGTGAGCCCAACATTAGCTCTGGTAACCTGACTTATTTCCTTACAGCAGTCCCGTACCTGATAATGTTTAGCTCACTAACATTACCCTGAGAAAATTCAATAAAAAAAACCTACAGAATTCCTTAAGAAACGTAAGAGATATACATGAATCTGATGGTTATGATCCCTTCATAGTCTCCAGTTGTTCCAGACAGTCAGACGGTTTGCATTAATTAATCTGTTATTGGAAGCTTTCTACATCTTATACACATCATGTGTGGATGTGACTAAAAATTTTTCTACTGAAAACATGTGGTTTACCCTCGACAACTGAACACTAGTAGAGAATAGAAGGCAGGATAAGCCTGGCAATTTCCTTAGAACTTTCCACCAGACTTTCTGCAAATTTGTAAATGCAGATGGATTGAATTCACAGAATAGAATTCCTACGACTCATCGTTCATCAGGGCGGATGTCGTAGTGGCATTGGTTCCTAACCACACGATCTCTGAAGCCGAGCATACCATTTATATTCAAAACGTAACACAGAAGGAAATTAAACAATGGTGGATGCGGGAACATTCATTCGATCGGGCGGCATGGCTCAGCCTCAGTCATTCTGTATAACTTATCTTTCACCACATTAAATATACTATTCTATCTTGAGCCCAAATGTATTCTTCAAAAGTGCTAGACGTCATATTACTGATTCTAACGATATGACGAGTTAATGTAGGAAATGATGAGATGTCCACGTAAGATCTCATAGATTAGGCAATTGCATCGTAACAAATCTATAATTTTATGATTAGGTCTATTATTAGGATGGTACTAATACCAAACCAGACATTATTCTACAATGTATGTAGGTAATTATTTGACTGAGTCTGAGTAGCTAGATGTGTCTTTCTTGCTGAACAACTTTATAGTCTCATAATGTCCAGTACCAATACTCAACTACAGGATTCATTCTAGCCATTGTACAAACCTTAATAACTCACACTGTATGTTGCACTGGGTTGTATTCATTTTAATGATAACTATTGTTTCCGTAGGATAACGCGGGTTTTAGCTCACATATATGTCTTATTTTCATGATCTTGGATTTCTTCGCTTATGGGCCATGTGTGTACTCACATATATTTGTCTGTCATTCCCTATTTTACCTAATTCCTATCTCTTCATCATACTAAACACTATCTACTTTATGCTATATTAACGCTTGTAATGAATAACATGGAGATTTGGCATGTGTACATTCTCCGGTCTGCTTCTCCGCCTCATTCCTCATATTTCCAATCTGGACCAACAAGTGTATGAAACATACCTTTTCAAAATTCATTCTCGCATTTGACTTATTTTACTCCATTATTATCTGACACGAACTAACTCGATTATATAAGAGGGTTGGTGGCATATAGGTTTCACTAGTATCATCATACAATCAAACTGGAGTCAGATCAACGGACTATTATTTATGCAGAATAGGAAGTGTGAGAAGTGTTCTTCATCCGTACAGATGTACAAATAAGACAGTTAATTTCTATAGACATGACCAAAAGAGTTTTATAGTTTATCATACTTTGTGTGGATCTTAGGATGAGTTTATCGCCTAATTTCTTATGAGATATCCAGTCTCAGTCATGATTAGAAGAACATCGTCAATCTCAGGTCACGCATTTACCTTTTATGACAATACCTATACTAGATTAGACAAGAGGGTTTAGGTGGCTCAGGCCTTCACCACAAATGAAGTGTTTCAGTAATCATGATCATTGTTGTTCAATTACTTATATTTTTTCGCTCGAATTTATTGAAATTGGACAGAAAAATATGGCTGCTTAAAATGCTTATTTTAAAGCTAAGGTCTCACGATGGGAAAATTGTGTTGCTGCGTTATTCTCCTTTCTTAGTACTGTAATGGAACATATGGGACCCTATCAATAAAATCAATTATTAAGTAGAACATACTAATCAGATTTGATGTACACAGACTGAGACTACACTGTTGCACGTGTTCGAACAATGTTACTGAACGATGAACTGACGTCAAACAGCAATAAATTGATTCAGTTCAACATATCATTCAACGTGCAGTAATCTGTCTTCTATAGTATGCTTAGTGATATTGGTTCTAGATCACACAGTCTTTGAAGTCAGACGCACGATAGCTGAGGAGATTTACGTTCAATATCTAACATTTTGAGAAGGTCGGAAATGTTGAGCGCAGGAATGCTTACTTGAAACTCCGTTTATCTATGGTCTAGTTCGATATCAGTACGTTTATCTTTGTTACTATAATAAGAGACCTAATCTAAAATTGTAGATTGGTCATGGCGTGACCATCTAATTTGTAAGATCTTACGTGTAAGTTATATTATAAGTTATATCACTAACTCGTCCCATCGTGACATTCGGCAATATGATGTCTAGCACATCTGAAGAAGACATTTGGGTGAGAAGAGTGTGATGTACTTGATACAAAAAGCAAGAGGTTACATATAGCGACTACGCCTCCACAACAGAGCCATACCATTTTGATCGACTGTTCCAGCGTTCATCGTCTCTAACCTTCCCCAAGTGTTCCATATGAAATGTAAATCTTCTGATTAATTATTTGGTCGACTTCAACGATCATGTGGCTACAAATCAATACAATTACATCACCATTGTTCGGCCATGCATATAAGGTCACCTATGTAATCTCTTGCACTTCACGTTATACATATTGTTCTCTTCCCAGACCAAATGTGTTCTTAAAGAGCCCTGGACAGTATATTGCCGACTGACACGTAGAATGATTCAGTATAGGCAATAATGTGAATTTTATGTAAGATCTTAGAGATTAGGTATTGACATCATGAAAAATCTACAATTTTTGGGATTAGGTGTGTTATTCCAGTGGCAACGATAAATACAATTAGTACCGACTAAGTCGATAATTCTACACGCTCCTTAGACTTTTATAAATTAAATATACAAGCGAATTGATCAGTCCTTCTTTTTTATCAACATACATATACATTGTGAAGCTCATGATATGAAAGCTGACAATTCGCTAGTTCTTGT